CCCCAATAATGTGATGATGGGATAAACAGAAACAGTTTGGATTGGATGCTATTTGATGTAATCTCATTATCATCTGTATCATTTGTATAGGACCGTCAACGTTGCTCAGCTGATCGCTTCGCAATAATAATTTAACCATTGTTGAATAAATTTCGGTGCCAAATACTTAATTATACTTAAGAAGTTTTTTATCTTATCTAAACACTAATTACATAAAACAAAAGTAAACAATATAGAACTGTTTTACTAGAAACAGTTTCTGTAACTGAATATATTTACTTACGTTATTTCCAAAAGTGTGAAGCAATCAGTTGTAGTTCTTTTCCATTAACTATATTCTGCTATAATACGTAACTTCTGAGAAATGTTACTCCCATTGAAATATTCTTACATAGTCATAATGCCCGAGATCTTGAAATCATGGCATTTTTTGTTTTTAATTAATGTTTTTCTTAATGGTCAAAAATTATCAGATGTATTCGGTCTCCAATAATAGTACAAATTTATATGTTTTGTATGTATTTGGCATTTTTGAGTCGATTGTCCAAATAGCATACTCCTCCTGCCTAAACTTTTCACCACACATCTACAGAAACTAAAACGATTTGTAAGGAAATCGACATCGCCATTTTTGCCCCGACCTGGAAACGTACCCGGAATTGCACCATGCCCGAATGCTGCCCATGAGGCACCTAGGGCTTCAAATTGTTTAATAAGCGGAAACATAACGTCATGGTGATTAAAATAGAAAGAATACAGAATATTTCACTCATGAGATGTCCATCAATGAGAACAGAAGAATGAGAGTAAGAATGACATCCACTTCGTCCAATCAGGTATTTACTCGTGCAATTTTATCGTTTTCGTTTTATCGGCGCGCTGCGGTTTGCACTTATTTCCAATACAACGTGGCCGACAAATTTTCTACTGAACTTACATATTATGTCTTTTCAAATATGAGAAACTTGGTAAGAAAGTGAAAACGGATCGTCTCTTTCTCACTCTTATTCCTTTTTATGTAAAATCTAACTTAAGAATTAATTATAAGAATTGTCCTGTTGGTCGGAACGAAATTTCTAAATGGACCAATATTTCAGCTCAAAAAACTGGTTTGGATACCACATAAAAATGTGTTAACCATTCAAATCGCTCAAACATAATTTCACATATGGCTCACGTCGTAATACAAGAACAAGAAGTTATGAGCACCCTCGGAATGTTCAGTTTTGGAAATTACACATAGCTGGTGAAGTTTTATTTAATTATATAACTAAACTTGTGGTTTCTGAATTGCGTATTTTGTTCAGAAGTGAAGTATTTTGGAATTCCTCATTTACGTGCAGATACGGTTTTAAAGAGGTGGCATTCGCATGACCGGGTAATTTAAATATAAAATTAATAGACTTGTTACATTGACACCTAACTTTTTGTTTATTTGTGAGTTACTGATTATTCTAAAAAATGTTACTAATTTAAGAAATAATGTTATATTGTTGACTTGATATTCCTATTTCTAAGGGTTTAGCCGAATAAGGTGGTGAAAATTGCCCCACATTAAGTCGATAATTGCGATACACATATGAAAGAGAATAAAAAATGTAGATTTCCAAAAAATCAGCATCCTAGGGCAATGTTGCAGAGATAAATGAGAAACGTGTTTTTCATGTTTTATTTTTTCTCATCTTCTATTGCTTATAACTGAAAAACGGGAGGGACAAGATGAAAGAGGAGAAAAATAGATGAACTTGAAGGTATTTTTTCAATCAATTTGACGCCAAATTTAAATAGAAACACATTTGAAATTGATTTTCGTCGTGATGACCTTAGAGTACTGTCCCAGTTTTCTTCCTAGAATGCATCTCATAAAATTCTATAACATATATTTTTAAATTTTTAAACAATGTTGACGATAGTTAAAAAGATAATTAAAACCAATTTTTAATTCGCGCCAAAATGTGTTTGAAATTTCCTTTTGTGACCAATATTTAAACACAGATACAATCACGAATTCGATCATTTCCCCATCGGAAGATGGACACGCGATCAATAACACCTCTTTACCCTCGATTGGCGGATCGCAAGTGCATGACCGAAGGATGAAAGTGTCTTAGACTAAATGTTACAAACTTCTAGATCTATATAGAGGTCGAAGATTATAACTTTTTACAATCATCATTTGTTGGGAAATGTTTTATAAGGTAGCTACCTTAAGACGTTATAATAACCATGCGGCTGGACACGTTTTGACGCACTAAACGAGATTTCGTGTAATCGCCAAACAAAGCATGATGGTTTGCCTCCTAATCAGAGGCAAATTACTTTCAATAGCTTCGTTTTATGAAATTTCTCACGGAATGTTCATTCTGTGATCTTCTTCGACGTACCTACATATCTTAGAAGCTAGTAACATTTATTCGCAAGCACCTGTGTGTAGAATCTTGGGTGGAGCACCGTACGGCGCCCGTGCCTATTGCGTGCTCGTCGAGCAGAATCGCCGAAAGGCACCGCCGCTCGCGCTTTGCTGGCCGCACCCGCTGAGCCCTGAGCGGGTGCCCGTGCTGTGCCCGCTGAGTGACGCCCGCTGGGCGGAGAGCGCGCGGTTAGCGCCCGGCAGCGCGCCTGTGGGAGGTCCGCAAAGGCGCACTCTGCCGCTGACGCAGTTGACGTTCAGGGGCGGTCACAACTACGCGTGGGGCTCCCTTCATCTGGATTTTGTCCCTGGCTTCGAGTTTGTCTTCTAGCAAGTTTTCGCTTCTTTCGTAAAGTTCATTTCGTGCAATCAGTGAAGGGCAAGAAAAGCTTAAAGAAGTGGCCACAGAATTTCTTTTAGTCCCTTCGAATAAAATCAGCGATCGCTCCGAAGCGGCCTGTGAAGTTTCATAATGCAATTCTATAACGCGCATCACTTTAAAACACCGTCTGTACACTTTAAGGATGCGTCCTACATTCGAAAACCACTTGTTGACATACGTACTCGTAAACACAGTACCTACTACGGAATATTATACTACATTAAATTTGAAAATTATTATAATTTTTAATAGTTGCTACGCACACATGCCGTATAGCTCAACCCCCGGGCAGCAGGAAAGAAAACAATACTATCACTTTTATATTTCGAAAGAATTGTATCAAGAATATTGTCGCATACTACGAAGTGGTTAGACAAACAACTGGACAATGAACAAACAATCGAAACAAAATTTGCAATGGTTTTGTAATATTAAAAGGGGATGTATCGGAGAGTTTTTTAATTTTTTCTTATTGTAATGTAGCCTTTCAAGAGATTGAAAAATTTTTGTTAATCATTATCTAGATTGGACATCCCTAACATTGAAATCTTCATCGTGTCTCTTAAAAGACATCTTTCTTAATATTATTAATTTTCGTCAATATATAATTATAATTATATTTAAAGTACTGCGTGTGAGTGTTGTGGAGTCAATTTTGAATTAAACTTTTTATGATGAAATATTCCGTACATTTTCAAAAAATTCTGAAAAACGGCTCCAAATGTTTCTTTAAATTTCTTGTAAGAATAGAGTAAAATACACTTACAACGGTGGCTAGGTCCGATTTTCACGGTTAACTCTGTATTTTTAAAATTTTCGAAAGTTCAATTTTTTTCTCTTCCTACAACTTCAAAATTGAAAATAGAGATTTTTTCATATGAAATTTGTTTTCCGTAATTAATTCTTTCCTTTTGAAAATCTTAGTGTTTTCGAGCAATACTGAATGCAATATTTGCAACTTAAAAAATATAAAAACAAATTTTGTCAAAAAACTACTCCAATTTTTTTTTTAAACTTTTGGTAGTGATAGTGACAAATGCACTCCATAAGATGATATAAAAGGCATATTGCTCTACCTTTTTGTTTTTTCCAAAATTACAAAAATATAATTTTGTTGAAACGGCACCACATATTTCCTTCCAACTCTTCCTTCAAACTTTTCCAACAGATAGTGTTTTCCATTCCAGCAAAGTTTTGAAAAACAGTGCCTAAACCTGAAAGGAGAGTCTTTCGTCAAAAGTACGGGAAAATTCCTGCCGACGTTTGAAGTGATACACTTCGGCAATATGAAATTCAAAACGGAGATACGGAGTTTTCATACATTTTGAAAGTATTTAGTCATATTTTCTATCATTATTTTTATAAATCCCAATCAATTACGTATGTGGTAGGTTTTGTGAATACATTTGATACTAACAAACCGCCGAGTACGTCAACTACGTCAGTTACATGGGTCAGGAAAAAAAATCAGTTACAATGTCAACCGTTTGGAACTGTTTGAAAAAGTAAGCGGAACCGAAAATGATCCGTTCTGTTAACAATAATTAAAACTTAAATATTTTATTATCGGAGAACGAAATTGTAATGTAATTTGAAATGGTTTGACGGTTTGTTACTGAAGAGATCTCTTAAAATAAACGTGCATATGTTGTGGAAGACGATCACATTTTGCGTACGTACGGACATGTGGTGGAATACTTGAAGTTTAATGAACGACACTTGCCTCTGGTTGGTGGCCAATTCGTCTTTCAGTGATGTTTAGCGGGTACAAGAATACACATGGTGTCTGAACGTGACCCGCCCAACATTCTGCATGAGGAGTTGCCTTCCTTGACAGGCAAATGTCACCCGAGCAACTTTGTTATAAGGAGTGCGTGATCTAGGCTCTCCGGGTGACGCCGCGTTGAAAACTGTGTTGCCAACGACCATCTTGTCGTGGCCTTCCTCAGGGCTGGTATGCCAACATACCACCTCACATACCAGCCCTGAGGAAAACCACAAGATGGTCGAAACGTCGGCAACACAGCCTTCGACGCGGCGTCACCCGGACACCACAGATCACGCTCATGACTGTGGCCGCGGAAGCCTACGAGTTCATTTGTTATAAGGCGTTTGCTCATTGACAAAAGGTGGTCGTCTTCGACGCCGTGCACGCCCTAGCAGTGTATGACGTTGGCGAGTGCGTTGAGGCGGCGCGTGCGTGCGCAGGGTGCGGCAAGAAGCGCGCGGACGAGAGCCTGGGCACGCTGGTGGAGCTGAACTCGGAGCCCGCCGTGGCGGAGCTCAGCCGGCAGATCCTGTCCGAGGCCAAGCTGTGGGAGGCCATCCAGGAGGCACGCGCGGAGCTCCTGCGCCGCCGCCAGCAGCAGGTACGCACCCCACGCCCTCCCACATGCATCCCCCACATTCCCACACCTCACCTACATTCCCACACCTCACCCTACCCACATCCCCACACACTCACCTCATCCACATCCCCACTCCCTCACCCTACACACATCCCCACCCACTCACCCCACGCACATCCCCACACACTCACCCCACCCACATCCCCACACACTCACTCCACCTACATCCCCTCTCATTCACCCACCCACATCCCCCTCACACTCACCTCAACCACATTCCCACAACTCACCCCACCCACATCCTCTCACACTCACCCTACATACATCCCACACACACTCACCCCACTCACATTCCCACGCATTCATCCCACATGCATCCCCCATACATTCACCCCACCTACATCCTCACATACCAACAACTCATACATCCCCACACCACCAACATTCTCACCCCCCACCTACATCCCTAACACTCTCAACATCTCCCATGTCCACCCACTCCCTACGTCACCCCACATAACCACACCATCTACATCCCCCATATTCTCCATATTAATATACTTCCTACATCTCACACGTTTCCAACATTTCCTGCTGTCTCACACATATACTCCCTGCCCGTGTTCAAGACCTCCAACATCCCCTGCATCTCCAATAACCCCTACAGCCCCTCTTTATTATTATATATTAATTCCGTTGGTAATCTTCCAATTACAAATGGTTTTTTTCTTTTAAAATATACACATCAAATATTTTTAAAATGTTTTTGTTACATTTTATTTAATTTACAGTATATTTTCAATTAATACTCTTAGATAAAGGTGATTGTTCATTTCTGAAATGTTTCCAGTATATGTTCTTGCTTTTTGTTTTTCTCTAAAAATTACAGGCCAATTTATCCCACCTCAATTCAGATTCTCTAGCGAAACTAAAACTGCATTAGCGCCGAATCAAGCATTATAAAATTACGATTGTTTTGAGTTCCTTGGCTCAATTTCTAAATTCGAAGTCAAAGTGCCGTTAAACATTGTTTTAAATTTTAATAACCCCAAGTTTAAGTACATAATATTAGTAAGGCAGTTATTTAAGGATTTGATAATATCATATTGTTTCAAAATTACTGAGAAACATACAAATATTAGAGACATAATTAACAATTACATAGTATCACAAATATTGTTCAACGTAATCTATAGCGTAATTTTTTCCAAATGAAAATAAAAACCTAACTGTAAAATTTTGAAGTCGTAACAACCGCAAGATAGTCCATCGCTCTAAAGTTCAACGCTTCGTCGACCTCAAATCCCAAGAAGCCTTTGAGATCGAAAAACTCCGTGTCAATTTTAGGATGTGGTGGACAGGTAGTCCTCAGGGAACTCAGAGAGAAGATTTGCGTGCAGCCGGAGATTTTGACGGGATGCAAAATTGAACAAAAGTAACGGATGAAATCGGTATCAGAAGTGACAGGAAGCAGAAAAACTAATACTATTTGCTATTTAAAAGTAGTAAATCTTCTTATTTTTATCCGCTCAAACCAAAATTCAATATTGTGCCGCAGAAGAGACACAAGAGTTATGTTGATTTAGGGCTTCATGTAATTTTTTATGCACGTGAATGTTCTTTTAAATTTAACATTATTTTAACATTAAAATTTGAATTTAAATAATTGCAAATAGAAATATCCCTACTTTCCGCAAACCAAAGCGGTGTAACAGTACTGAAATTACAAGAGAAAATGTATGTAAATTCCATTGAACTCAATTTTCGACAATATCTAAAACAAACACGCAGCTACGCTCATACAGAATTTTTCAGATTATAAATGACGTAATGAATATATTCGCGTACTTATTAGTATCGAAATACACATCCACTACGTATACTGACTGTTTAAAGAGGAAACGAAGGTCGATATCTCATAGAAGTAGAATTAGGAGGCCTACAAATCTCAGATTTAAAACTATTATGATCCAATGCTCGTATTGAAAAATATCAAATGCAATTTGTATAATACCTGAAAGAATGCAGTATAGGCTTCATAAGACTTAAATGGTCCGATTTGGCATAAAAGGATTTAAAATAGCATTCATGTGATCTCAAAGATTGAAGAATCTGTATAAGAAAATCGAATATATGAATCTTGGTTTCGTGTTCTTTGCGGTAAGTACGATGAAAATGACCTTTTGGAATCTTATGAAAACATAAGAAATTTCCAACGCAAATTTGGAACATCTCACATTCTACGATGCGAATATATCTTTTCTCGTTCAATATGGAATGGTAGATCGTGGAACTACAGTGTGGCAAGTACATTGAAAAAGGGAATCTAATTATTACATTGTTTAATTATTGAACTATTCGGTATCATTTTGAAAGCATTAAATTTTAGTTATTACAATAAAATCAATAGAATGCTTTAATTATAAGAGAGATTTTTCGGCTACAATAGTTCAGCGGTGAGGTCGAGGTGTGTAGCGTTGCTAGCTGAGTGAAGGTTCTAGGGTACTAGCCCTGGCGGTGAGTCGTCCGGCTGCTCTGGCCGGTAGTTTTCAGTAATTTTTTTCGATTCTCAACAGGCTAATGCTGGAGTATTTCTCTAACAAATTCGAGATTTTTTTTTCACCCTTGTCTTCACTTCTTTCTTTATATCGAAACACACACACAAACACACACACACACACACACGGGATAGTATTACATTACCACACGTGCCAGCAGCTTCGTTCATGACCCGACGGATGGGCCTTGTGGACTTATAGGTCAGCGCGGGATCGCGTTCCAATTGATGAGAGACATCTCCCCTTTCAGAGTTATAACATGATGTTTATGGGAATAAAGAGTTTAGTTGTTAATGGTAGCGGTAAACCGCATACTCACTCTCTATTTGTTGCATGAAAATCTGTAGAATCAATGAAAAATCTTAAAGTGACTCATAAACCTAAACTAATGATTGAAAAAAGCTTAATTTTAATTCTGCAGTTTCAGGTTCAAATGTTCAGGTTCACTGTATAAATGGTAGTGTGCATTGGCCATATAGCACAGAGCTACGTGCGAGGAGAATGTTGGAAATTCGCGGATTCCGCTAGTAAAACATTCCGTTCGTAATGTGCGAATTCCTCTTGAATGGCCTCAGAGGTGTAGATCGGAGAGCGAAGTTATGTTTCTAGGCATATTGAGGGTACTATAGTGAACGTTATGCAGATATTCTAAGAGTTAGTCTCCCAAATCGGAAAACAAAAGTGATTGTTCTTATTAGTTAGATGTATTTCTAACATATCGGGATAAAGTCTCAATACATAACGCGCCAATGTTCCACGAATTTTCCTTCATTTTCAAAACATTACAAATATCAGCCATGCGCTGACTTACGGACCTTTAAAAAACACTTTTTATTTGTGCTACGTTTGTTAAAGATATTTTTAAAATCTTGTCTAAATTCATTGAAATTTGGCTTCTTAGGTGGCTTTTCAATAATCTCTTATAAAGTGAAAACATTTTCCACATATTGAAGAAGTGATATATTAGTTCTGCTACTCCCTTTCCATTCACAAAAAATGTTTATATACGTAACTATAGATAGACAATACATGAATATAATACACAGATATAGTATTGTCGATTATAGATATATGACTATAGATTTGACTTATTACCAATAATGAATTATAATGATTTATTATTACTGTTTACTAGAAATAAAATTGGTGTTAATAATATCCCGGAATCCATTGTTTCATCATTTTCAATTAGAGAACCGGAAATCTCAACATAGATAAATGCACATACGAAAGAAGTACCGTATGGAATGGCCTAGCAACTGACAACTGCACAATATGTTTGCTACGTACCTCGCATAACTACGTCCCCACTTCTCTCCTGAGCTCTTAAAGACAAGGCGGCTATCTCCTTCGATAGACAACTCGCTGCCTGACTTAATTAGGCCTAAGTGCGCCTTAAAACGGACACCGCCACTTCGTTCATGAAGCTCGCGGATATTTTTGACCCTAAATTGTTCTTTATCTAAATGGCGTTTTATACACGATCTAACCACGCCACGTTTAAGTTAGGAGGCTATTTTAAACCAACGTTGCTTCTTTGCATTCATTGATGATCGTGTTTAAATGACTATATCGTTCTTAAAATAGATATAAACTAAAAATATATTGCACGAGTTAAGACATTAATATTAAAGCAAGTAATTCGGAACAACATAAAAAACTTTTCAATCCTAAATTAACCTGAAAAAAAACTAATTCTAGAAATATCCCGACAATATTATGGTAAATGATTCTAATAAACTTTTTTTAATTATGCAATTAAAAATATTACATTACAGTTGGATTTGGTTTATGATAACTAAATAAGCATTTCGTGATATAAAAAAATATTTGGAAGTAAACAAGTACCCGCAATAAATTGAAATAGAATACGCGATCATGATCATATTTATCAGAGTAAAAGCAATAATTGTGTATTATACAGAAAGTTTGAATTATGCGTTTTGAACAGAGAGTTTGAATGTTGAGTTTTGAAAGAATGGACATAAGTTATTCAGTTGAAGAATGTAAGAAAACCTTTATTTTGTTGTAACTTACGTTGGTGTATCTTAGATGTACATTTGCCTCCATCTTGATGGAGACTCTCTGTGGTTCAACAACCATACGTTAAACGTTATCATATATGGTGACTTTCCTATTGTATATTTTGAAGTGTGTTTCCCTGCGTATATTGATGTAGGAAAAGGTAGCGATTACTTTTGCGGCAACCATCATAGTTCGTACAAAATACATAAAGCAAAAGGTGATAGAAAAATTTGCGTAGTCAGACAGAAAAGCTGGGGTGATGGGTTGAGTCTCGTTACGTAAAATAATGCATCATTGAATTGAATAATAATAAAAAATAGTAACTTTAGTAATAGGACTAATCTTGATCTTCCGCCTAACCATGTAATACAAAATCTTATAGATAAACATTGAATTGACCATTTTCTAAAATATATTTAGCAATACAAACTTTTAGTT